TGTATAGAAATATATAATCTCATTTTTTTTGTTATTTTCTAATACCCAAAAGTGTGTTTATATAGGCAGAAGGAGATGTAACTTCTTCCACCATGATCTCGGTTGCATGTTGGCTTGCAAGGCTTGTACGCCCTGTCATTGAACAACTTATGCGGCCACATAGAGTTGAAAACTAGCCATTGGCTGGTTTTTCAACATGAAATCTGGTGTCTTTTTTGTTGGAAAGTTGCCACATTTCATTATGTGTTGGCACCATTTCGTGTAGTGTTGATTGAGGCTTATAAATAGGTAATAGATGATCAATACAAATATATACAAATTACTTGAGATAAATTATATTCCACAAGAAAGATCAAAACCTCTTTTATTCATATTCAAAATTCTAGTTTGTGTTCTTTCAAAATTCTAGTTTGTGTTCTTAAGTTTTGAAGAACTTTTACTAGTGTTTAAATGTTTATTTATTTTCAAGGCTTAATAAATCCTGCAAACTATTTTCCAAGAATCCATTTAAGCATCAAATTCAATTTGAGAGGAGGCAAATATCGTTTAAGGACAACGACTACATGTTTAAGCCTTCGTCCATTATTTCGGTTTTCTTGTTATTTGTTTCTTCTCCCTCCCCTTCGTGTGGAAACATTCTTGCTACAACTACAACAATTCTCAGACGATATTCTACAATGGAGAATGAAACTACGATGGCGATGATCCAGAATTGGCACCACTTGCGAAACCAACTGATGAAGACACTGAAATCGTAAGAATGGAGAGACAAAAGCATCAAGAGAATGAACTCATATGCCGCGGTCATATTCTTAATGCTTTATCTGACCAATTGTACGATCTCTACACAAATACATCATTGGCAAAAGAAATACGGGATGCTTTGAAAAATAAGTACAAAGTCGAAGAAGAAAGTACTAAGAAATTCCTAATATCAAGGTATTTTGACTTTAAATTGCTTGATAACATTCTCCTCCTTCCCCAAGTACATGAGTTACAAGTTCTAGTCAACAAGTTGAAGGCATTTGAATTGAAATTCCAAAATCTTTCCAAGTATGAGCAATCATTACGCAACTCTCGAGGACTTGGAAAGGATATCGGAAGAAAATAATGCATAGTTTCGAAAATTATTCTTTGGAACAAGTGCAACAACATCTTCAAATTGAAGAAGAATCGAGGACAAGAGCTAAAAGTGAACATTCTTATGAAAGCACTTCAAAATCCAATGTCATAGAGAAGACTGAACCTTCAATTAAATCCAATAAGAGAAAATCTTCTAAAAACTTTAACAAGTTTAAAAAGAAGTTCAAAGGAGGTTACTTTGTATGTTGGAAACCCAGACATCATATAAAGGAATGTTGACACGGAAAGCAAAACAAGTTCGAAGGAAGAGTGAACTCCATCAAAAAAGATAATATTGTGGCCACCGTAAGCGAGATCAATGCAAATCAATCTTGATCTTCCAAAATAAACAAACGGATCCCACTCAAAATTTATGCTAAAGTCAGCCCTTCAATTCATTTTCTTTTTCAAATGGGCCATGAGTATAAGTGGAGACTATTGAGGTGAGAGGCAGAAAATGGGCCACGAAGTGGAGGGATAGGGTAAGTTCATATTTGGTTTGGTTGAGGTCCAAGAAACCAAACCAGGAAATTTGACTAGTTTATTGAGGAATCAAGGGTGAACACGAAAGGAAAACTGGAGTTTGGACCAGGTGGCTGGGTCTTGTGCATAAACCAGATACTTTTGGAAAATATACAAAAATGTTGTTATTTGGGTGAAAGAAATTGTATTAGCACTACTTTATGGACTTAAAGAAATTGTATTAGCACTACTTTATGGACTTACTTAAACACATTTCTCAAGAGAATTACCTGGTTGGTCACTAAACTTTGCGTAAAATTTTCAGGAGATGGATTAAATTACATTTTTACTTCGGCGACTAACGAGTAAACTTTTGAAGTTCTCAATGATTGATGAGATTACATTTTGTAAAATTCAGTTATTAATGGAGAAACTTTTGAAGTTCAGTCACCTTTTGAAAATCTTATGCAAAATTCGGTAAATAATCAGGTAATTTATCAATCTTTACTTTTTTTCAACTTTTTTCTTTGTTTAATATTAGAGAGATCAGCAAACAACATTGTCGTTACCTCAGGATAAAAGGCTACTCATTTTTCTAAGTTTGGTGATACTAGAGAGATTAAAATTGTGACATAGGAGCATATAAAAATAAAGAAAAAGACTAAAAAGCATAAAGATTGATCAATGACATGATTGGTCATTTAATTTTGCGTAAGATTTCTCGGAAGATGCTAAACTTCAAAAGTTTCCACATCAACTACTAAACTTTACAAAATGTAATCACATCACTATTGGGTGATTGATGGAATGGAATTACATTTTGTAAAGTTCAGTAACTAAATGAAAATTTTTTAAGTTTTCAATTATGGATGTGATTACATTTTATAACGTTCGGTAACTAAAAGGAAAACTCTTGAAGTTAAGTGATCTCCTAGAAATCTTTTACAAAGTTCAGTGACCAATCAGATAATTATCCCCATTTAGTCTTGATTTTTTATTATTTCAAAACTCATTTTTTTTAAACTTATATTCAATCATACATTCTTACAATAAAATATTTTGCATGTAAATCCAAAATGTTTTCCGACTTTCTAATCACATATTATCCAAAAATTCACTATTACAAAATTTATTTTGATGAAATAATGAGCATCAAACAGGAGCTTAGTTGGAAAAACTATTTCACTTCCCATAGTATGCTAGTGTTTGTGTTTGTTTGACTCTTGATTGAGTTTTAGTAACAAGAGTTTAGTAGATTTTAATTGTTTTAGATAAAAATTACATTTTTAGTAGGTTTTGATAAAACAAAAATCATGAGATGTGTGGTTGAAAAGTTATGGATCTCATAAAACATGTAATTAAAATTAATTGTCGACTTTGATCTAGATTTTTAGTAGGTTTTAGTAGATTTTGATAAAAGATGGTGAGATGTGTGATTGAAAAGTTATAGATTTCACAAAATATGTGATTAATATTAATTGTTGACTTTGATCTAAATTTTGATTCATTTTTTTTAGCTGAACAAAATAGGGCTAAAAAGTTTTTTAACTTTGAATAGGTCCATCAACTACTCGGGCTTATTAATGTTACACTCGAAGTCTATCGAGCTAGATATAATTAGTTAAACAATGAAAGTTACATTTGTAACGACCCAACCTCGCGTCGGAGCCATTAT